CGGCGCGGCGGCGCCGCCGCGCGCCTTCTGCTGCTGCCAGCCGTCGTCGGCGCCGCCGCCGCCCAGCTTGCGGCTGTCCCAGCGGTCCATCTTGGCGGGGTCCTCGTACCGCACAGAGGTACCGCGCTGTATCGCCTGCGGCTTGGTGGGGCTGCCAAACGCGCCGGCCAGCTGGCCAGAGTTGGTGCGCTGGTAGGAGCGCTCGTCCTCATCAATCAGCCTGCTGTGAATGGGGCCAGCGGGCACTGCACCCACAAAGGCAGCCGCGGCACAGCAGGGAGGCGCGCCGTCAGCGGGCAGGCGGGCTGGCGGGTGGAGAGGCAGCGGACCCAGGCGCCCACCACAGGCAAAGGCGCATGGCGCAATCCGCGAAAACAGCTGGGGCCCCACAGCAGGAAAGTGGCAGCTCCGCCCGCAGGCGGCAGCAGGAGCAGCCCCGGCAGCAGGCAGGCTGCTGTGCAGGGCCCCGCACCGCCGCCTGCCTACCTGCCGGCCGCCTTGCGGCGGCGCCAAATGGGGCCCGCGGGCCGGCGGGGCCCCGCTGCGGGCCCAGGTAGATGGGCGGGCCATCCAGGGTGGGGCTCTTGTCGAAGAAGCACGACTCTTGCAGGTCGCTGCGCACAGGCAGGCAACAGGCAGCGGAGGGGAGTGTGGTGGGTGCAGGCCCTGGCCAGCCTGCCGCAAGCGCCCCTCCCGCCTGCAGCTCCCGCCCCGCCCGCCCCAGTACCGACGCCGGCGGCAGCACGGCTGCTGCCGTGGCCCTGCCTGCGGCGCCAGCGCCGCCTCCCCGCACCTCAGATCGTCAGAGTCGAGACCTGTAGGCAGGCCCCGGCACTTGGGGGCGTGCTGAAGAGCCAAGAGCTCCTCCCTGCGGGGGACAAATCAGCGGGCGCGGTCAAGCCCAGCATGATCGGGTATCGGTTCGCAGCGGCAGGGGAGGGGCGGGGTGCCCTGCAGGCCTCACCTGGTGTAGGTCCGCCTGGTCGTGGGCTCCTTAGCCTCCGGCGCGGCCCCATCCTCCGCCATACTGCCCTGATCCGACAGGTCTACGGACCGCGCGCTCAGCAAGTGCGAAAGGAGCGGAGGGCGCTGTGTCGGAAGGGAGATGGCACGGAAGGAGCGAAGGCGGGGAGCGGGGGTCTTGAAAGAGGCTGCAGGCTGGTGGTAAGGATTCTGGAGCAGTAGCCTAGGTCTTTAGCAGACGGGAGAGCTGGTGATCGGGGATGGGTGAAGCCTGTGCAGGCTTTTTGCGGTCAGGAGAGTGAGCAGCGCAGGCAAGTCCAATTGAGCGCGAGTAGGGTGGTGCAGCGAAAGATCAGGGCGACAGCCATCCCTGCCAGCTCACAGCACGCCATCCCCAAGCTAACCTCCACCAACGCCGCTTACAGTTGCTTTTATGCGCCGTGGCAGGCTGGCCGTTGGCTTGATCAGCATTGGGTGCTCTACAGGCGGCCACGGCGCTGGGCAGGTGGCGGTCACCGCCCCGCCCGCTTCGCTCGCCGCTGCACTTCCCATCCCCAAAATAGAGTTTTCCAGCCAAAACCCAACTCTCTCTGTTGAAATAATGGATTACAGGGGTTGCAGCACATATTGCGCCATCCGTTGCCTCGGCGCCACGCCATCCAGACAGGAAAGCAGGGCAGCGTGCCAGGGCCAGCGGCATATCAGGCAAGGATTAAAGGACCTCTCTGTTGGGTGCAGGAGGGACCAATTGCACTAGATCACAACGAAAATTTGGTTGCGAAAACTGGAAGGGGGCAGACGGTGAAATCAGCCTGATTGAGAACGGCAGGAGAACGCTTGGCGTTTTGTGATAAATTTGCTGCTCGGTCTTGCTGCGTCTGCCAGCCGGGTGGCTGGCAGCTCCGCAAGCTCGGGGAGTGAGGGCCTCACGCCTTGGGGATGATAACACCAAATCCGTGCGACCTGCCGGGCAGCATCGGGCAAGGAGGGACCGGCATAGTCAGGAACTGTGCACCAAAATGCAAGCGCTCACCCCATGGCTTGCCCGTCATCTGCGCGTATGGCCGAGGGCCGAGCCTGGCACTTTGCATTGGAAGGTGGGCCTGTTCCACACGCGTTGGGTGGTGCACTCTGCGGTACAACTCACTTGCGGCGGTACAGGACCTTCATGGCACCATCGGCGCTGTCCTTGAACAGGTAGAAGTCGTGGCCCACCTGCACAGGCGGGCGGCAGGCGCGGCAGGGGCCAGGCAAACGCTGTCACAACACCAGCTGGTCGTCCGCCATGACCACACACACACACATGCCATGAACAAAGCGTCAGGGCGAGGGCCCGTGCGAGCCGCCGGCCGCCTCACATTCTCAATCTGGTCCATCGCCTCGTCGGTGCTCATGGCCGTCACCTCGAGCACCTTCTCCCTGCACCGCACACACAAGCGCCCCAAGAGAGGGAGGAGGGAGGGAGGAAGGAGGCGTCGGATGCAGGCCCGGCGGCATGCGCTCGGCAGCAGGCCGCCGGCTCAGCAAAGCACCAGCTCCTGGCGCTCCTGCCGTCCGCCGACCCGCGGCGTTGCCAGCTGTGCAACGCGGTGCCGCGCGCGCCGCGAAGCGCGACGCACCTGACGACCTCCGGCAGCGGCGGGGCTATCTGGTCAGTGGGCAGCTTGTCCACCACATCCTCCCCAAGGTGGGCCGCAATGGTGTCGCCGCCCTGCACAGAGGCACGCGGGGTGCACGACGAGGTGTGTGACAGCTGGAAGCGGGGAGGCCAGCGGGAAGCCAGGCGACGCACCCGCGAGCGCATGCAGACAGGCAGGGGCGCAGGCCGCAGGAACAGATGGGCACGAGTGAGCCCGCAGGTCACAGCGGGCACCGCAGCGCCGCGCGCAGCGCCGCACCTTGGGGCCGCCGCGGCCCGGCCAGTTGGCCTTCTGCACCGCCCGCTCCTTGACCTGCACAAGGGGGCGGCCAGGCGCGGCGGGTCGGGTGGCAGCACACGCGCTTGCACCGCCCAGACTCGCCGACCCCCCTGATTTGCCGTCCCCAGTAGACCGCCAGCCCTCCGAACGACGCCCCTGTGATGCATGCAGGCTGCTGCATGCTGTCTCCCCTGCCTTGCGCACCGAGCTGCCCAGCCGCCCCGACGCCCACCTTGACCAGCTTGCGCTTGAGCTTGTCGGACACCAGGTCGACGGCCGCATACAAGTCATCCTCGTGCTCCTCCACGCGCACCACGCCGTGCCTGCAGCGACGGGGCGCACGACAGCAGCGCAGCTTTGGAGCAGGGACGAGACTCGAGCGCTCAAGGAAGGGATTGGGCTTCGCAGGCTGGCAGGCAAAGCAGGCCGAAACGACGCGGCCTGGGCTTACGGCACGCTCTACCAACCGGGCCAGGCCCCAAGCTGGCGGCACCCAAGCTGGACACCGCCCCTGCCCCCCCAGCCTGCCAGCCCTCACCGCAGCGTGAACACCGTGACCTCGACTATCTGCTCGCGCTGGTGGTGCGCCTCGGTGCCGCGGCCACGCGGGTTGCCCCGCACCGACAGCTTCACATCCACCTGCACGTCACAGCGTGCGGGTACAGCGGCATATTTCGCATTCTTCCTCACAAGACGGCAAGGCGCCCCCCCACGATTGTATGACACAACTACGCAAGAACATCAGAGGCGGCACAACAGGGCGCCGCGTCTGCCGCCGCCCCACCTCCTTGATGCCGTCAAAGTTCTTGACAGCCTTGCCCACTTTGTCCTCGCAGTACTGCTTGATGGCGGGGGTGGTCTCCAGGTTGCGGCCCTGGACAACTATCCGCGCCGTGCTGGACACCTGCGGGGGGGCGGGCGGTGGGAAGGCAGGAGGGACAGCAGGGCAAAGGCGTGAACCGGGTGAATGTTGGGCAGTTGATGGCTGCGGCTGTGGCTGTGGCTGCTGAATTGCAGCATGTGCGTGCCGTTGAGGTGTGCAGCAAGTGCGTGGCACGCCGAGTGGCAGGCTGAAGGCTACGCGCTGGCCGCCACCCCGCCCCGCCGCCCTGCAATAGCCAGTCCAACCCTGCCTGCCGCGCCTCATCGTGCGTCAAACCCCGTGGCCGCGGCTAACGTGCAGTGATCGGCAGCCCCTGGCACTGCCCCCGTCGATCCCCGACACCAAACCCACCTCCGCCACCGCTAGCACAGCCGCACGCCGTGCCACGAGGCGCTGATGGGGCTGCCTGCAGCCGGGCTTGGCGCTGACGTGAGATTTAGAGGTCAGCTGGGTGGCCGCAACGGCGGGCCGTGGCCTGATGGCGGCAAGCATCACGGCTGTGGTGGGGAGGGGCAAAACGGAACGATGGGTTCGGTGTGCAGTTTGTCGTGATGCCTGCGATCGCCGCGATCTCGGTTCTCCAGGCCAAGGCGGCGCAGGTACGGCGGCCGCCCGTACTGCCAACGTCTTGGCGGGGCATTTTTACAGGCAGGCATTTCTACAGGGCTTGAGGCAGGGAGAGAAACGGCATATCACTTTGTCATGGGCATGTAGGGCATGAAAGCATGCACAGTTCAAGACGAGAACATGGTCGGCAAACTGCGGTGGGGCTTGCCAGGCACGTGCGCTGCAAGGGTGGCCTGCCTGGCACGCTTGATAGGAGAAAGCAACAGAGAGGCCAGTTAGAAAAAAAGGAAGGGCAAGACCCTAAAAAATAATGTGAAGAGATGGCCGGCCCGCATGAGGCTTCCCAGAATGTGGTCACGTTCCTGCTGCTAATCATTCAAACTTGTCTCCAACTTACTTCCAGCAGCCACCGCCTTCTGGCGATGGCTGGCCGGCGACATACCAAGCTATCACTGCCCTCCCAGCAGCAGCGGCGCCCACTTGCTGGGGTATGGGTACCAGGGCCAGGCCACCGCCGCCAGGCGCGCCTGCTGCATCGGCGACAGTAGCTGCACGCACAGCGGGCGGGGAGGCGTTGCGGTCAGCACAGCAAGCGATGCAAGGGCTTGCGGGTGGAGATCCAGCCTGGCGACGGTACAGGCAAGCTGCAGGCAGGCAGCAACGTCTGCGTCCTCTGCTTCCTCCACCACGCCGCCGCCCATGCCCCGCCTCCACACCACCTCCCCAGCCGCGCCCCACCTTGCGCACGCCGCACGCAATCTGCACCGCCGACACATGGTCCTGCCGCACCACCAGCCTCAGCGCCTCCATGGCCTCCAGGCCCTGCGCCGCCAGCGGCTTGCCCAGCTCCACATCCTCGGGGGCGGCCCTCTGGAGGGGCTGCAGGCAGAGGAAAGCACGGCGGGGCAGCAGGCAGGGCGCTGCCAGGTCAGCAGCAGCGGGCCGGGGGAGGGACGGAGGGAGCCGGGGGCGTGGCTGTGGGTGCAACCAATAGACTGAAGCGCCGTGCCATGGCCGGCAGCAGCCTAGCCTGCCTGCAGGAAGCCGCTGCGGATGGCGTTGAGGAGCTCGTTCTTGCGCTGCGCCCGCTGCCCCGCCGCCTCCTGGTGCCGCTGCCAGGCCGCCGCCAGCGCCTGCCGCTGCGGTGGCGACAGCTGCATGGCCGCCACCGCGGCCGCGGGCCAGCCGCCGGGCGCGCCGGGCTGCACGGGCACGCTCGCGGCGGCGGCCGCCGCGGCAGACAGCGAGGCGGCGGGCAGGCCTGCCGACAGGTCGTCGTGGAGCAGCTTGCTGGAGAGGTCTGGGCGGGAGATGAGCACCAGCAGGTCCCAGTAGCGCTGCGGGGGCGGGCGGGGGCGGGCAGTGGGGCGGGCTGGGTGAGGGCAGGGGATGGGGGGCACCTGAGGAGGCAAGAGCAGGACAGGTCCGCAGGCATTCCAACTACCAGGCAGGCAGTACAAACTGGGCAACACAATCGATACATCTCCATCAGCGCAATCAGCGCCAGCTCAGCGCCAGCGCAGCGTCAGCGCAGCGCCACCTCACCCCGCACTTCAGCGCCTCCTTGGCATTCGCGTCGGCCTCGGCAGGCCCCAACGCCGCCGCCTGCACCACCGCCTCCCTGCACCCGCCAGCAGCATACGACACGTCAGGACGGGCGGCGGCAGCGGGAGCGACACCAGCGCGCACGCTGGCATACCCATGTATGTACGCACGAACTGTACCGCTCAAGAGGCAGGTGAGCAAGATGCAGCGCCACAGGCAGGCTGTGCAGCAGGGTTCCGAGAAGGGTGCGGCGGGCAGGGCGCACCCGAGGCGCACGAGCAGCTGGCAGTACCACTCCTGCAGCTTGGGCCAGGTCAGCGCCGCCACCGCCCGCATCTGCGGTACCACACGCAGGAAAGCACAGCCGGGATGAGTGGTAGGCCCTGTCACGAGGCCTGAGAGCCCGCACCAGCAGGGAGGCGGCGCCCGGTACCACCGGCTCTCCCACCGCCCGCCCGCCCGCCAGCCACCACGCAGGCCGGAGCCCCGCCTTACCTCTCTGTCCGCTGGCCTCATGCTGACTGACAAGTGCGCCAGCAGCTTGCGCTGGCTGTTGGGCGGCGACAAGCCCACGGCCACGCCCAGGGGCGGCGCGCGCGTGCCCTGCTTGGTGGGCGAGGCGCCGGCCGCCTGGGCGCCCCCGCCGCCCCCCTCGCCCGGCTCCTGCTGCTGCTGCTGCGACGCCGTCGCCGTCACCGCCACCGCCGCCAGCTGCTGCAGCTGCTCCTGGGTGCGCAGCTGCTGCTCCACCTCCAGGTTCTGCAGGCATGGCGGTGGCGGCGGCGGCGGCGGCGTGAAGGACCGGCGTGCACGAACGGCGTGATGGCGCGGCGCGGCGTGCACGACCGGCGTGACGCAGCGCGGTCAACACGCGAGGCTGGAACGCAGCAAGTCAGCAGGCCCGGAGCACACCTCGCGCTGGCCAGCCACCCACAGCCGCAGGCAAGCAAGCAGTCTTTCCAAGCGCCAGCCAGCCACCACAGGCAGGCTCTCTCACAGCCAGCCGCCACCTCCCCGCGCCGCACCTTGCTCTTCAGCCGGTCATTCTCCAGCTTGACCTGCGCCATGCTTTCCTGCAGCTTGTTCAGCTCCGCCTCCAGGTTGGAGATCTTGGCCTTCTGTCTGCGCCAGGCGGGAAACGACAGCAGACGGAAGCGGCAGCAGGTCAAGCGGCGTGATGCATCGGTGTGTGACGGAGGGTGGCGGCCGCGGCTTGATGCGTGTTGACCATGCATCGAGTGGCACGCCCGGCAGCCTCCGAACGCAGGCGCTTGGGAGCGTGCTGTGGAGCCCTGTGCCGCCTGCACGCGCGAGAGCGCCCCCACCTGTCCGAGAAGCGCTTGTTGCTGGGCTGCGCGGGCCCCGCGGGGGCCTTCTCGCCCGCGCTGGCGCCGCCGCCGCTCATGGCCGACGCCTCGGTCACATCCTCGTCTGATGCCGCCCCGCGGGCCCTGGTGCTGGCGGAGGCAGGGCCGCCGCCACGGGGCTGCTGAGGTGGCGCCAGCGCCGCCGCCACGTCGGCGGGCGACATGAGCGGCAGGTCCGCCGCCGACATCATCGGCGGCAGCGCGTGGTCGGGCCCCGCCGCGGGCGCGGCCGCGCCCATGCTCCCGGCGCCGGCATTGCCGCCGGAGCTGGCCACGGGGCTGGCCACGGGCAGCGGCTCCGCGGCCAGCATCTGCAGGAGCTGAGGGTCCAGCTGCTGCTGCTGCTGTTGCTGCTGCTGCTGCATGGAGGGGCCGGCCTGCTGGTACTGCCCCTGCATGTGCGCCGCCTGCTGCTGGTAGAAGGCCATGTTGAGCTGCTGCGCCTGCTGCGCCTGCTGCTGCTGTGCCTGCTGCTGCGCCTGCTGTGCCTGCATCCACGCGCCGCCGCCGCCCCCCTGCGTGCCCTGCGGCACCCCACTGGGGCTGTAAAAGGCGGGGTGCAGCATGGGCATGCCGCCCGGCAGCTGCAGCACCATGGGCGCCTGCTGCGGCTGCTGCTGCTGCTGGAACTGCAGCTGCTGCTGCAGCGGGCCCGGCTGCTGCATGGCCGCCGCCTGCTGGAACTGCAGCTGCAGCTGCGCCTGCTGCGCCTGCTGCGCCTGCTGCGCCTGGTGGGCCTGCAGCTGCGCGTGCAGCTGCGCCTGCACCGACGCCTGCCCGCCGGGCACCACGGGCGGCGGCGGGGGCATGCTGCCGCCGTGTGCCGCGCCGTGCCCCACCAGCTGCACGTCGATCACCTGGCCGTGCGCCGGCGCACCGCCTTGCCTGTCCGGCAGGCCGCTCTGTGTCATGGAGATGATGGGCCCGTCTGCCGCCAGCCAGTCGGCCAGGCTGCCGCCGCGCATGCTGGGGTGGGTGCCCGCCAGCAGCATCTCCACGTGCTGCGCGGCGGAGCCGACGGCGGGCGCGGCGCCGCCGGGCCCGCCCAGCAGCAGCTGGCCGCCCACGCCGCTGGTGCCGCCCAGCAGCAGCGAGCTGCCGATGCCGCTGCCGCTGCCCAGCAGCATCTGGGCATTGATGCTGGCGCCACCCAGCAACGCCTGCGCACCGCTGCCGCTGCCGCCGCGGCTTGCGGGCGCGCTGCCGCCGCCGCTGCCACCGCCGCTGCCGCCGCCGCTGCCGCCGCCGCTGCCTGCGACGCTGCGCACGGCGGCGGAGCCCTGCGTGGTGTCGGCTGTGGTGCCGTAGAACCCAAAGTACTGCAGCACATGCTTCTCCATAATCTCATTGTACTGTACTTCGGCAGGCCCCGCCGCCAGCATCTCTGCACGGGGCGCACGCACCAGGCGCGGCGGTCAAGGGCTGGTGCAGGCGCAGCACGAGCTGCACATGCAGCCGCCCGGGGGCATGTGCCTGCGTGGCAGCCTGTGAGCAGGGCAGGGCGCGGGGAGCAGGGGGCGGAGGACGGGGGGCCCAGCGAAGCCGGCGGCGGGGTTGCCCTCGCAGCCTGCAGGTGCGCACCCAGGTCGACGTCGTCCAGTCCTAGACTCGGCATGCCGTCCAGGTCCATAATTTCTTGCGCCTGGCCGTGTGGGCCCGTCATAGCGTGGGAGTGGGGGCTGTCAGGGAGCGCTGTCCACTGCTGGTCCCTCTCCCGCCGCGCCTGGTTGCTTCCCTCAGCCTGCTGCAGGGGCTGGAGGGTGTGCAAAGGCCACAGCACACGCGCTCAGGGGATCGCGACACCACTGGGAGGGCAAAGCGTGGGCCTTGAGCCTTGGGTGCAGACCCTGATCAGCTGGTTTGAAGGACGCCAAGCAGGAGAAGGTGCACCTAGCAGCGTTTGAGCGCCGGTGTTTTCCACCCGGCGCCGCGCTCTACATGGGCGCCCATCGGCGCCTTCTTTGCAAGCTTACAAGCAAGCATGTCGGCAGACGGCATGTCTGGGGGCAGCGAGAGCGAGGACGAGGGCCCCAGCTCCTTGTGAGTGCGGCTGCCGCCGCTTGCGGCAGGCTGGGGGCCTGGCGGGCGTTTGGACCGGCCGCTGGTGGCTGGAAGTGGCTGGAGGGCGCACCAATTGCCACTGCCCTCTCCATGCAGCCAGGCTCCATCATGCTGGCAGGGCTGGTCAGCACTCTCTTTGGCGCTCTGGGGCTGCTCCTGCATCTATAACAGCCCCTCCAGGCCCTCTGTCCCGCCAGCCAGCCGCGTTGCAGCGCAGGCCAAGCCCCGCCGCTCGCCCGCCGTCACTGCCGCCGCCCGCTGCCGCCTGCTGCGCCCCGCGTGCAGCCCCCTCCACGATGCGGCCCAGGCGGGCGACGCGGAGCTCATCCACCAGCTGATGACGCCCCCGCCAGATGCCAAGCCGGGGCCGCCATCAGACGACCTGGTCGGCCTGGTGCGCCGTGCCAGCCTGCGCCTGGCGGCGACAGCCCGCTGGCCTCCCCCGCCGTGCCGCACCCTCGTCCTCCCCTTCCTCCCAGCCTCACCCTAATCCCAAGCCCCCAAACACTCCCTCCCTCACTCACTGGTACAGGACGACATCCTGGCCCGCTACGTGGCCGAGGCCTCTGCCCCCCAGCTGCCCAGCATCAACCGCCGCGACCACCACGAGTGCACCCCGCTGCATGTGGCCCTCCTGCACGGTGCGCCCCGCCGCCGGTCACAGGCTGGCCGCCCTGCGCCTGTTGGCCGCACCCCATCGCCGCAGCCGCTGGAGGCGCGTGCTGCTGGGCTGCAGCGGAGCCCAGCCCAGGCTTTTGTTCAGGCCATTCAGGCCACCCAACTCCGCACATGGCCCTGACTCTGCCCGCTCGACGCCCCCCCGACGCCCTCGCCGCAGGCCAGCTGGAGGCCGCGCGCGCCCTGCTGGAGCACGGCGCCTCCTTGGAGCTTGGGTGCGAGGGGTCGCCGCCGCTGCACGTCGCCGTGTGCGTGGCGGCGCACGGCGCCATGCAGGAGTTTGCTCTGGCCGCCATGGCCCTGCTGCTCCAGTTTGGGGCCGACCCGTATGAGAGGTTTGTGTCGGCTGCCTGGACGGGTGCTGGTGGATGCCCATTTATTCATGGTCTGGCCGTTTGTGTGAGCTGTGTGCATGCACCTGCAAATGCATACCCCCCACCAACACGCAACCCATAAAGGGACGCGCCGTGCAACCCCCGGGGTGCCATGCGGCGTGATCTGTTTAAGGTTGCAACATCAAACTGTGTGCCACTGCGGGGCGCCGCACAGCCGGTGAACCCCCACCCGGTGGTTGCCACCCCGCGGGCCCACATTTACACATGCTTGCTCCTGCCCATGCACCGCCGCACGCCATGGGCATGGAAAGGGGTTGCCCCTTCCGATGCAGGGGCCTTTCCCCGTAAGCAGCAGGTGGCCCCGTTCCTCTGGATGCCAACACCCCCCTCCCTTCTCTTTCTGTCCCCCAGGAACAACAACGGCCGCACCGCGCTGCACTGGGCCGCACAGATGGACTTCTCTGCAGCGGCAGAGGCTGTACTGGCGGCCGCGGAGAAGAAGCGGGCGCAGCTGCGTGCGGAGCAGGCGGCGGCGGCGGCTGCGGCCAAGGCTGCCTCCGCCGCTGCTGCCGCCGGTGCGCCCGCGCCCGCGGCGCCTGCTGCCGGCGAGGGCGAGGACGACGATTCCGTGCCGCCCCCCATCTTTGTGTTTCAAGACAAGCAGGGCTGCACCGCGCTGCACCTGGCTGCGCGGCAGGGGCACGTGGCCGCGGTGCGCCTGCTGCTGGGCGCCGCGGCGGGCGGCGGCGGGGGCCCCGAGGCCGTCGCAGCGCTGTGCAGAACCAGGTCCAAGGCGGGGCACAACGCGCTGCACCTGGCGGCGCTAGCAGGCAGCAGCCGGTGCGCCGCGCTGCTGGCGGCGGCGGCCCTCGACGCGGCGGCTGGAAAGTCCAAGCTGGGGCTGACCCCCGCTGACCTGGCGGCCAGGCGGCGGCACACGGGCCTGCAGACCGCGCTGCGCGGCCAGCGGCCGGTGCAGGCGCTACAGGCGCTGGCTGCGGTGCAGGAGGCGGAGGCGGGGCAGCGGGAGGCGCAGCAACGCACGCTGCTGATGGCACCGCCAGAGTGCCTCTTCCACTTCACCTGCCCCGCCCCCATCACGCGGTGAGCAGCTGGGTTTGGCGGTGCCTGTTGTCCCGGTACCGTTGGCTGCTCGCGGCCCCGCACCTCGCGGCCCTGGCACCCTGCTGCCGCTCCTCCTGCGCCTTTTCATGCCCCTCTGCCAGCCGCCTGAGCTGTCCCCTCCTTCCCTGAAGCGCTCCAACCACTGAAGCGCGCCCTGCCTGTGTGCCCCCCCCTGGTGCAGCGAGACCTCGGACAGCGCCCCGCCAGAAAACGTGGAACGCCTGACCGTGCTGACCAAGCCAGGTGCGGAATGGGCGCTGTGCTGAGGCCCTGCACGGCCCGCCCGCTCGCCTGGCCTGGCCGCCGCCGCGCCGCCGTGTCGCCTTCGCCTGGCGTGGGCACCCGCCTGACGGGCCCCCACCCCTGCCCGCCGCAGGCTGGGGCATCCTGCGCTGCGACGAGTTTGGCGGCGCGCTGCGGTGGGACGAGCGCAGCCAGCGGGCCGCCATCGGCGACGTGCTGCGGGTGCACGATTGGAACTATGTGCGCAAGATACAGGTGAGCATTGCAGTTTTATCGATGTTTTGTTTCCGGGATTTCTTTATACTTCACTGAAAAGCTTGTGTTTGGGGGGGGGGGAGGTGAGGCCCTCCCTGCGCCGCCATGCTGGCACGCTCGTCGACTTCCCACGCCGGCACGCACCTGCCCGGCGCACCTCCTCCCTCGCGCCCCACCGCCGCCGCCGCCACACGCCTTGCCTCTCACCCCGCCCCCTGCGTCCCGCTCCTCTTTCGCCCCGCAGACTGTGTGCGACTCCCTGCCCGACGACCCAGAGGCCATTGGGCACCTAGATGGCGACACGGCGGTGTCCCGCGGCACCTTTGCAGCCGCCCTGGCGGCCGCCGGCTCGGTCTGCACGGCGGTGGACGAGGTGGTGGCGGGCAAGGTGGGGCCCGTGGGTCGGTCCCCTGGTGGGGCTGGGGGGCCTGGGGAGTCTGGGTGGGGGTGGGGTCCAGCTGGCATGTCCAGCTGGCATGGTGTGGCCGGGGGCTGGGCTGCGGCCCGAGGTGAGGCGGGGTGGGAGCAGGATGGTGGAGTGGCAGGGCCGTGCCTGCCACCCTGCCAGGTGCTTGTCCCCGAAACCTCAAAATTCCCCCCATACCTCAACGCCCGCCGCGCCGCACGCCCCGCCCGCAGGCCGCCAACGCCTTCTGCGCGGTGCGGCCGCCGGGGCACCACGCGGGGCCGCTGGGCGTGGTGTCAAACAGCAACGACCCCAACGGCAGGTGAGGGCGCCGGGGAGGCGGCGCTGCCGGCTGCACGGCCGGGCGCCGGCATCAGGCATCGCCGGGACGGAGTCAGGCCTGGCTGGCCGCCTCCCTCTGCCGTGTGCCCAGCTCTGGCACCTTGCCCCCCTTTGCCCCTGCCTGCCCTCCCTACCCTGGCCGCCCTCCTCCCCGCCCCTGCCCCCGACCATCCCCTCCCTGCGACCCCCCACCCCGCAGCCACGGCTTCTGCCTATTCAACAATGCCGCCATCGGCGCGGCGTACGCTATGACGGTGCACCGCCACGCGGGCATACGGCGCGTGGCCATAGTCGACTTTGACGTGCACCACGGCAACGGCACGGGTGGGTGGGGGTGGGGGTGGGTGTGGGTGTGGATGTGTGCGTG